CACCAGAGTTTATCAAATTGGCATAATAATTTGTTTTAGCAGTAGAAAGGGCTTCTTTGTAGTATCTAATATGGTGATCATACATTTCCTTGTGTACAATTAAACCAGATCTCATATATAAACGCTCAAGTTGATGCCCCTTTGCTTTTAACTGACGTAACTCAGGAGTATACCATGGAGCAGTATGAGCAAATGAGACAGTCCGAGTTCTGACAGGTGCAACAACATCTAAAACATTCTGCAACTGGTCTTTGTAGTAAGAAGTCAACTCATCCAGGCTAAGTAATCCATCAGTGTTCAACAAGTTATCAACTTCATTAGAAAAAACAGACAGATCGATATTCTTAATATTGCGAAATGTGATAGTATGGCTTTGAGCAATTTTTGATAGTTAATTTGGTACTGAAAGACACAAGTTTATGATCAGATATGGACAGGTCACGTGAACTACAATTAAAAGGTGTTATTCCAGTGCAACAAATAAGATCAAGTATGTGACCTTTTGAATGAGTTGGAAAATCAATAAACTGTTTCAGTTCAAAGCTATCCAAGCATGATATAAAGTCTTTTGTATCAGTAGCAGTAGCTTTATCAACATGGATGTTAAAATCACCAACCATAATCACATTTGGAGAAACAGAACATAATAAAGTTAAAAAAGCTGAAAGTTCAGTTAAAAACTTAGTATTAGATTTAGGTGGACGGTAAACAGTTGTTATGATAGTGGGTACTGGTCCATTAACTTGTAACACCATGGATTCAAAAGAAGCATAAGAAGGTACAGCTATAGTTGACACCTTCCATTTCTTATTATATAGCATTGCTAGACCGCCACCTCGACCCGAGACTCGGGGCTGACATGCATAAGCAAAACCTGGAGGAATGGACTGATTCAGCTGAGAAAAGTCATTGTGTTGCTGCCATGTCTCAGTCAAACAGAAAAAACAACGGTAGCTCAAAAGGTGTTTAGGAGGCAAAACAAACTCCCCCAAAAAGTTAGCTTTGGTGAGCTGTTTCGAACTGCCAAAATGAACTCAAAACGAACTTCGTTTCAGCCTGATTTTGTTCGAAATGACGTCATTTCAGTTCGTTCTTTGATTTTGTTTGAAGTATATTAAGTGAATAAAATGCAATATTTGTCAAGAGACGTTTTCATGAAGCAACAGAAACACTTCTATGGCAAGCCATTTTAGCTTAAAATATTCCAAGCGTTACTCGTCGTAATTGCATTTTTACTAGTAACAATTCAATTAGAGAGCTCTCTAAATCTATTTTAACTAGTTACAAATACAATAAGAGCTCTCTAATTTAATAAAGCTCTGCAATTGCATTCTTACTAGTAAGAATTAAATTAGAGCGCTCTACAATTCAATTCTTACTAGTAACAATACCAATTACAGAGCTCTCTAATTAAATTTTTTACTAGTAAGACAATTTCTTTCTTTCTCGCTCTCTCTCTCTTTTTTTTTGGTCAGACATTAGGGGGGGAAAAATTCAATTGCGACATTATTTTGGGGTATTTTTTCCGATAAGCTTAATTAGGTGATATTTTGCTGAGTGTGTTTTTGTGCTGGAACCGTGGCTGGTTTTGGCCAGTAGGTGGCAGCACGACTCTGTCTTACTGAGTGATTCATTTAAAAACACCGATTCATGCAAGTACGAAACATGTCTCTCTGAGACACGCAACAGTTCTTTTCCGGCTTTGTTTGGAACTATTTGTGTTGGTAAAACAAAAATAGAAAATAGTGTGTCCAAAATGTAACTCGCGTATTAATTTCTTGGTTGTTGAACTGTATAAAATCAACATCACATTCACAATCATGCTCGTGCGCTAATATTCGGAAAACGGCACTCTTGCTTGTGTGACATTACTTAACAATATCAGATGTTATAAATATAAAAAACAAATACTCATACAGGGATATTTTTGCCCTCATAACTATAGTGGCATTCTAACTGCATTCTAATAGGCTTCATCATGCAGTAAATGCTTGTGTTAACAGTACAGGACCCAGCCCAGCATTATTGTGTGAGTGGATAATGCGAATAAAGCCCTTGCAAAACAAAACAAAAACAGGTATTTTACAACCAATAATTAAATATGCATATTGCGGAGAATACATTTATATGCATGTTTTCTGTGCAAGTGTGAATTCACCTTTAAAAATAACTTACAGTAGCTACATAGACTACCTATATTTCTTCTCTGTAAAGCATAATCATTTTATAATGATTTTAATCAATATATAATAATACTTAATAGATCACTAGAGCCTCAGCGCTGCTATTCATCATTAAAAGCTGCTTGACCGAACAAGCTGCTTGAGTCCCCATTTTCTTTTTTTAAGATTTCTTTTTGGCATTTTTGCCTTTATTCCGATAGGACAGTATAAGTGAATTGGGGGGAGGGGGTGCGGGATGGGACTCAAACTCAGGATACCCGTTGCGCAACGTGTTATCGACGGACTGCCCACAAGGCTATCGGGACTTACATTCTTACTAGTAAGAATTAGTTAGAGAGCTCTCTAATACAATTCCTACTAGTAACAATTCAATTAGAGAGCTCTGCAATTGCATTCTTACTAGTAACAATTAATTGGAGAGCTCTATATTTCAGTTCTTACTAGTAAAGATTACAATTAGAGAGCTCTCTAATTAAGTTCTTACTAGTAACAATTTAATTATAGAGCTCTCTAACTGAATTAGAGAGCTCTGCAATTACATTCTTACTAGTAAGAATTCAATTTAGAGAGCTCTCCAAAAATAATGGACAGAATAAGGGACACACACACAGGACAATATATTCATAGAAAAATAATGGACAGAATAAGGGACACACACACAGGACAATATATTCATAGAAAAATAATGGACAGAATAAGGGACACACACACAGGACAATATATTCATAGAAAAATAATGGACAGAATAAGGGACACACACACAGGACAACATATATATATATATATATATATATATACACACACACAGGTATATATCTTTTAGTGAATAGTGCAAGTCTAAAAGGGACAAGTTTTTTTTGTTTTTAAGAATAGAATAGATTTATCTTTAGATCTGTAATGTTTTTTTAATGGAGTCTCTTATGCTCATCATCAATGCTGTATTTATTTGATCAAAAATACAGAAAAAAAAACAATATTGTGAAATATTGCAATTTCTAATATTGGTTTCCTATCTTATTATACTTTAAAATATAATTTATTTCTGTGACACAGCACTGAATTTTCAGCATCATTAGGCCTACTCCAGTCCTCAGTGTCACATGATCCTTTAGAAATCATTTGTTGGAACCTGTGTTCCATAAATAAAAAGTTAAAAAGAACAGAATTTATTCAAAATAGAAATATTTTCTAACAAAATGAGCATAACAGATAAAGACGTTATAAAATCGTAATTATTCCAAACTTTTGGCTGGTAGTGTAACGTCTCATCCCTCTGGTTATGTAATGGACAGAAGCGGTCAGATATGCTGTGAATGATGTGCGGCGGCACCTGTAGATGTGGCTACGCGGCTTCAAATAAAAATAAATAATTACCTTTTACGTAAGTATGCCACTTCAATACACAGCACGAAACATTCAAAGCATAAATAGCAAGTTTTACCTACAGAGTGAATTATATTCTAAGTATTATTCCTCTTTATTTAGTAAAGCCATCCGGTGCTTAAAACTATCCTAAGGGATGAATTCAATCCTACTTACCAAACCTAACAAAAGGCAAAGTCTCTGCTTAAAACTTACATTGAATTCAAGATGTTACTCGTGTGTAAACTTAAGGAGAATAGAACTGACATCATACTTCATACATCCGCTAATGCAATGAAATTCATTTTTAAGTGTGCCTTAAGTGCTTTGTGGGGCCACCAGAGAGATAAGAAAGATTAACTACAACTTCTCTCAGAGCAGAAATATGATTCAACCTGTATCAGATCATGATAAAGCGGGGTCATGAAATCGGATACAGTGGATAGAGAAAAGGAGACATAACTGGTAAATCTCACACAACACATCGTTTGGGCATGAACTGTTAACCTGGGATAGTGAGTGCAAATGGAGAGGGGAAGGAAGAGGGAAAGTTTTGCATTTCATTGAAACATTTCTCACACAATTTATCTCAACCTTAAAGTGTTCAGCATCAAAATCAACCGTGCTGAAAATGTGTTGAATTTGACTTGCATGTTTTGCAACTATTAACATGTCTAGTAAAAAGGATAAAAAAATGTCTTTATCATAATATCCTCTCATTTCTAGAGTTCATCATTGTCCTGTTAAATAAAGACACATGTAGTTGAATCTAGTGACCAGGGCATTCTGTCGCTCTCTCTTATTCACTTCCAGTTTCTGCAGGCCATTTCCTTCATCATTCACATCCCTTCAGTCTTTGACACTCAATTATGGAGGTATTCTACCTCAATGGCTGTATCCGAAATTGCATACTCTCAGTAAAAACAATCAAATCATGTGGCTTCAGATAGCAAAGTATCCATCAGATGTGCACTTCAGAATCAGTAGTAAGTCACCCAGGTACTTTCTGTCAACTTTTTGGACTTACTGCTGTGTTCACACAGTTATCTGCACACATTATATTTGGGTAGTATGCAAATTTGGATGCTGCCAAGGTGTCTTCCTGATTTTTAAGTTCGTAAGTTACTGAGAATACTAATGTGGTCACTTCATTTACATTACTAATACGTAAGGTAATGACTAGAACAAATGTCAAATCATGAGGCTTGTTGGAGAGGTGCTATTACTTCATGTGATTGGACTTAAATGGCTTTTATCAAATCAGTATTTCATGTCCATTTATACGTTGAGTTACTCATGTAATAAGTGGGATAATGTTAATTCAGTCGGTCACTATAATAAATAAACCCTTTCAGAGTGATAAAACACCAGTGGACCCTGAAGGGGGTTCGTTTTACAATAATGACCATCTGACTGTCCATTATCCTTTATACAGCACTGACAGTGAAGCAGAAACATGGTCTTCATGGGTGTTTTATTGGATGTGTATACAAACAGAAGCAGCAGTGTCAGGCAGTGGGAGAGAGCGTCTGAAGGCTGCTCTTCACGGTAGCCAGATTCTGTTTCCAGGAGCACAGCGTGTCATTCAGCTGCTGCCACTGCTGTTTGCCAAAGGTGCGGTGTGTGCTGTGGCTACAGGAAGTGAGACAGAAGCCAATCACGTCAGCATGGGCTTCAAACACAACCCTTACTACTACTACTACTACTGCTAATCATTTTAGTGTATTTGTATGTTTTCAATTTGTCTGAAATCAAAACTAGGTAATGACTTACCTCACCACGACCTTCCGCTGTGTCTGGTCAATCTTGCAATAGACCATTTTGGTCCGAACAGCTAGAAATTCACATGAATTAAATTTCATGTTTTATATATTTTTATACGTTGATTTTTTTTAGATTGCAAATAATTACATTCTGTGGCATTATGAACTATGTAAATTAGACTATACATTTAAATATTAATAAAATATTTAAAAGCTAAAATATTTATTTAGCAATCTCTATTCTAAATCTATTCTATTCTTAAAAACAAAAAAAAAAACCTGTCCCTTTTAGACTTGCACTATTCATTTACTAACTGCTTGTTTTCTAAAAAAAAAAAAAAAACACTAGCTTCTCTAATCTTTTTGTTTTCTCTTCTCTTTTGTTGATGTTGATTGCTTCCATTGTCCTCATTTGTAAGTCGCTTTGGATAAAAGCATCTGCTAAATGACTAAATGTAAAAAAAAAAAAAATGCATATTTTATTGGCAATGACTTCAGGCAATCAATAGTCATAGTAATTATCAATATTTTATTGTTCCCGATTCAATTAGATCATTCGCAAAGATTCTGATGGGAAAAATACGTTGAAAAATTGGGCGGTCACTAGCTATGTTTCCATCCAAAGATTCAAATTAAACTTATGCGAATTATGCGCATTATGCACATATGCGAATAAAGCACCATTTCCATCTAACGAGTCAAAGAGAACAAAATCGTCACTTCCTGGTAAACTGGCACTAAATATCACTAAGAAAACCAGGAGAAGCCACTGAATATAATAATTTTCATATATGATAAATTACTTGCGCCTCAGAGCGAGCAGGCGAAACACAATAAATGCTGTCAATGCTTTCGGAGGTGGATGCCAGCTGTGTGGGAACGCAGTCGTGTAAGATAATTATACAGAAATTCTTTGACAACAGACTTTGCTCAGGCATTTCAGAATGACCATAACAACATAAAGATGCTGTGAACGAGATCGGCCCGCTGCTAGTCAAGTTATCCCATCTCATAGCGCAAAGTCACATGACTTTTTCGATGCGCATGGAGGATATTATTCGGTAAATGTGTTTCCATAGTAGTTTGTGCGCATTTAAAAAATTTATCCTACTCAAATGTGCATTTTTAGAATTTATGCGCATCTTGG